GGACCAACATTCTGTTTCTGACTGATTAGGAGGCAACACATGTACCAGTAAAATTTCTAACTTACATTGGGTCTTCATCTTCCATCTATCAAGGCATAAGTTTATCCATGTATAAGGCTGGCTGCAAAATTTTTCACAAAGTATATTCTATGAGTCCACACAACAGACTCCCTTTTTACTTCTATTGTTCAAAGAGGCATAAGCAAAGAAAAAAATTGAAAGATAAGAGTCTCATGATAGTAGAAAAGGCTTGATCCATGATCTTGGGATAAAGCTGTCCACATCAAGGATGCCATGTTCTTCTGGGGAGAAACTTCTCTGGTTAGGTTTATTTTAAGGGCATGTGTACAGTTCCAAGAGTATAGAGGGACCCTTCTGAGTTGTGAGATTATGAACCCTAGGTTCAAGGTCCCAAAGTTATGCTACAATGTGGATGGCAAGGGCAGCTTTTCTCTGATGCTCTCGGAAGATCCAGTCTTTGGGTTCTAGATTGTGAAGGAGTTGATTGTCCCTGGTCAGTGAACCTTGAAGAGCTTTCTTTACCTTGTGAAAATACACTGTGGCATAATGAGCTACTGTTATAACATCAGCCTTCTTACATGAGAAACTTTTATACGACTAGAAAACATGCAATGAGATGATAAGTGATTAAATCCTTCTATAAATATTTAAATGGCCCATCAGGCAGTGAAATGTACCTAAAGTTTTGAATGTCTTCCCGGGAATGTGAGTTTGACAAACCAAACATTTTGGTCATGAACTATTTTAGTAATTTAGAAGACCATACACACACACACACACACACACACACACACACACACACACATACATTTATCAGAATCATTTTATCTTTTCCATGATGAGTCATGGAATGTAGACCACTTATTAACAAAAGCTTTAAGGACTCAAGAAGGACAAGCTTGCTGCCCTAGCTCTCCATGAGTTCATGCTTAGTCAAATTATGTCCTCTTGAATACGAGGTGTTTCCCCAATTTAAGTGCACAGCACTGATAAATGATGGATTATCATGGGTAATTTTATCTAGACAATGAAGTTTATTCAAATTGTCTATCTAAGCAACTTCAGTACTGGCTGATTTAGATAAACCAGTCAGTCTTTTTATTAAAGTTTCAGAGATTTCTTACCCAGTCCAAATGATATGATTCAAAAGTTATTCGGAAACCTGTATTCAAGAGTACTTCTCAGGTTTCTTTTCATCCTGTCATGAACCTCCTGAAAGACAACATATTCTAGGATTTTATATACTTGTGAAGTTTTCAGAAACTGCATCAGAATTAAGCAATTAACTGTGAAAATGGCTTTGAATAGTCATAGTTAATGACACAATTGACAAGGAAATTTGGTTATTTCTGTGGTCTACAATGACAAAACATTATACACATTAGGATTTTAGAAATCCCATACAATTTTGGGACATATATGAATAACATTCATTAAAATATAACCTGAAGAAGGTTAAATATTATTTCTTATTTGACAATCCTTCCCTTGTAACATAACATGTAAAATGATCCCATTTACTTCTCCTTCAGATGCTTCAGGTGGCCTCTGGAGCACCCCAAAGTGGGAGGCAAAAAAAGATGTAATTTTGAAGTTGAAATTTGATTTTGGGAAGCCTGTCAAATATATCAAAGGTTTAAAGCACTTGACCAAAATAAGATCAGAGGTCACCATAAGACAACAATGATACATTTACCAAAGTAATAATTAAAAGATTTTTAAGAACAAAACCTGTTTGTCTTTGATCAAGAGGACTCAGTTTTCTAAACAATCAAAAGACATAAGACACATGAGACAGAATCTCTCTGTTCTTATTTACTCATTTTTTTCCTCAGTTTACTCAAAAGGTGAATGAAAATATACTGGCAGGCTAATGCTACACAAAATTTTGGTTAAAAAGGGAAAACCTATTAGTGTATTATCAATATGAAAACTGATTTTAACAAAACCTCATAAATACATTTATCAAATCTGTCATTTTTTAATCACACATTTCTGTAAACCTTTTATTTTACATTTTTCCCCAACTTTCGCCATTCATCTTTTTTATCTGTTTTTTGTTCCTTCAATTTGACATCTTTAAGTAACTTCAAACCAAACAAAATTTTTTAACACACATTTTTATGCCTTTATAACTTTCCTCATCAAACACATATTTTGCTTTGCTTACACACTCTGAAAAAAGAATTGTTTCTCTCAAATCTAGTAGTTTTTAACTCTTAGTAACCATAATTTCCACTGATAATCCTGGAAAGTAATTTTGAACTGTTTTATATCAGTATCTGTAGATTTAAAAATATTTTGTAAGTTTTTAGAAAGATAGTTATCCAAATTATTATTTATTAACAGTCTAAACACACTTAGCTTTTCTATACTGAAGCAGCTACGTTTTCTGGGTTATATATCCTGTGTTTCATTGCCATGTGCTGAGAAAGAATTCAGGACACGGACGCATGTGGGTGGGTTAAGGAGTAGAAAGTTTAATAGACAACAGAAAGGAGAGAGGAGAGCAGCTCCTAGTGAGAGAGAGGAGAGAGAGAGAGGAAGAGAGGAAGAGAGAGAGAAAAACATCTGAAAAGAGTAGGTTGGTGGCGTCAACGGACTGCAGCAGACATTACAGGCAGGTTGGAGAATTCATTGTCTGATTTACATAGGGCTCACAGATTGGTTCAATCAGGTATGACATCTACACAGTGCACGGAGGAGATGGTGGAGGAGGGGAAACTGGGGGTCCAACCAAAATCTAATTATGCAAATAGTGCAAATGGGCTTTCCAGTTGATCAGAGTCATCTTGTCTGCTTCTCACTGTACACATGGCTGACAAAGAGAAGGGAAGATGGAGCCACCATCTTGAGCATGATTGGCACAACTGCTGGCACTATGTCTGCAGCTTGATTTTACAGGCTGCTCTTCATTAGAAAGGAAAATAATTTGGGACTACTTTTCATTAAAAAAGAAAAGCCTTACTGAGAACTCCCATGGCCTTGCTATCTGTCTAAGTAATTCCTTCTTAACTCCTATATCAATACCATATAAAAACAACGTGTCAAGTTATAGAGACTTAAATGTATATTTATTAATGAATATCTCAGTATATTAGCTTACAGATGTCTCAGACATTTTATGATTATCTGTTACTGAATTTAACAAAATATGACTCTAAGATTTTAAATTACTGAAAAGAACTTTATGATACTATGACACAGGTAGCCTCCCCAATGACTACCCCCAGTCATTCTAGGTCCCAAGTAGCCATGTGACATCCATGAGGACTAGGAAGGTCAAACCTTGTCTGAGTCCATCAGGAGAGGAAACAGTTGTTAAGACCATACCTGGAGAAACCAACCCTTCCCAAAATATCCAGGAAGCAAGACAGGGAAAACAGAGGAAGAAGGGACCACACTGAGCTTGATTCTGGCTTTGTAGCCCTTGATATAGGCAATAAAAACATGTCTCCAGACTTTATCATTGTCACCTATCCAGACCCATGAATCCAGAGACTCTAAATCAAAGACATAAGCTCACAGTCAAATCAAGCATGCATCTAATTACATTCAACTGATAATTTTGAAACCACTTATATTTTACCAACAGTTTAAAAGCTAGCTTTATTTACCAAATATCACATACACATATACAGATACAAACACACAGAAACAGATCATATGGCTTTCATAAAGGATTTTCATTTGCTGGCTTTTAAACAGCTTTTCTTTTCCCCATGGAGTCTTCCAATCATCCAGTTACCTGTTTCATTACCCTAAGCAATTGTATTAGGCAAGAAATTTGCATTTCTAAAGGGACAACTATTAGGTGGAACAGAAACATTTAAATTTCATAAGTACAGAGCTAAGATTTTAGGCCTAAATATTGTATCATCATTTTCTCAAACTAAGGAAAAAAAAAATTGCTCAAATGAAAGTTCACTTAAGACATGATGGCTAAAAAAGCACCTTAAACAAAGGTATGACTTATTATGTAAATTTAAAAGATGGTAAGAGTTTCTAACATACATAGGCAGACATCCTTAAAATTGGAGATTTCCTTCATAGATGTAAATTTTATTTATAAAAGGGTTTCAAGATAGCCAATTAAATCTCAGAAAGGTATATTTTAGTTTAATAGGGTGTACTTTTTAACTTAGCTACTGCTTTTTAACTAAAATTACTTGAGTTAAGGGTGGAGTATATTAAGGAATAAGGCCAGAAAGCATTCTATATGCCTGGATTCAGCATGAGTAGATCAGAAAAACAAAGCAAGCCTATTTTACCTTAGGGTCTACCTTTTATAAACACCTTATCTAGGATAGCTTTTTTCCCACCCTTGAGATGGGTTAGTAACTAAGACAAAAGGTTAGCAGATTTAATTTTTCTTATCTATTAGTCACTTAAACTTTTTATTTGCCTTTTACAAATTCTTTAAATAAAAACATTGAAATCTTTTTAGAAGTTTCTGCTGCAGTGTTGTTTGTTTGGAGCATTCCACTGTAACTTGTCTTTAGTAAGATTCTGCCATGTCTGTAAGACATTGCTGCTTCCAGGATCTAATATTTATGCATGTGTAAGCCAGAAGGAACTCAGTTCTTAAGTAATTAAAGATCCTATTTCTACTTCAAATATTGGCTTTGGCTCTCAGTTTCTTTTGATCAACTTAGCTAATGATTTTTTTCTCCACCTAAGCATGCCAGAAAAATGAAACAAAGGCATAGAACATAAAAATCCTTGTGAGTTTACAAAAGCCAAATTTTACACCCCCTGCAATATTGCCATTTACTACCTGGTTCTTTCTGATCCAATCAGATATAAAATATCTCTAACTGGATTCAAGCCAGTTAATTATCAGATCTAATTCAATCCTGGACCCGGTCCAATTTTTGTTATGACTTCCAAACCCAGTTTGGATCATACATTTGCTCAAGGCAACTCAGAGAGCTCAAAGCACAAATCTGTGGAGCTTCAGTATCCAAAAGAAAACTTACCATGATCGCCAGCTGCTCTGAGAGAGCAACAGACAGAATAGGCCTGGCGGGTACCTTGCTTGGTCACTCAGTGCTCATGGGGGTTGTTAGAAGCTCTACTTTAGACCCCACTTCTGATGCCATCTGTTAAAAGAAAAACATTAGCTGAATTAAGTTAAACAGAGTTGAATTGAGCAAAGAACGATTCATGAATTGGGCAGCCTCCAGAGCCAGAGTAGGTTCAGAGACTCCAGCATGGCCATATGGTAGAAGATTTGTGGACAGAAAAAGGATAGAGACACGCAGACAATGGTAGTGAGGTAAGCAAACAGCCCAATTGGTTACAGCTTAGCATTTTCCTTATTTGAACACGGTTTGAACAGTTGGCCACCTTTGGCCCAAACTTGGTAATTGGCACAAGAGTAGACTACGGTTTGTGTACAACTCCTTTAGGTTATAGTTGACAATGTACAGATAAACCTTTAGGCTGAACTTAAAATATGTAAGAAGATAGCTTTAGGCTAAACTTGATTTAACAATATTTACCAAGGAAAATCTACAGTAGATCAAACTTAATATATTTAATATATATGTCTTCTTTTATTATTTTGTTGGCATATGTATGAATTTTCAGGATTTTTTTTGTGTTGAGGCACTGATTATATAGAGACAGCAGTAGAAGAAGATAACAAAACTTTCTGAGGGAAAGATCATTTTTAAATTATTAACGGGACCAACAGTATTTAGTGGTAATAATGTCTTTTTTCCAAATAATATATTACATATTTGTCAAAAAATGGATTTGGATCATATATTTTATATCTTTTTCTGCTCTAAAAGGCTGTAATATTTTTTTAATTATTATTAAAATTTTTTTGAATGTGTAAAATCAACTATTGCTACAGATTGATACTGTCACAGTTTGGCAAATATACATAAACTTATTTATTCTGACCTCTGTATAAGCATGTAATTATCTAATTAGAAAGTGCTAGAGTTCATTAACAATGCAAAACCCCATGGCTTTATGCTTTATTAAAAACCTGCTTTGTTTTTTAAAAGGTTGATTCAAATGCCATCAGAACCTGTTTTAAAATGGTTAGAAATGCTAGGGTCATTTTAAATCTAAATCCAAAAGAAAATTGATTTAGCATTGATAATTTAACATGTTCAAACCATGAGATATTTGTCAAAAATATGTTTGCTATACAGTTCATTATCTTGCAGGAGATATCTGATCATAAAAAAGATGTTCACGTTTTTGGTGACAAATGTTTTGGCAAAATTGGGGATTTGGGGGGTGGGGAGAAGAAAATATCCAAGTATTAAGTGTCAAGGAGAGAGAAACAAAATTATAAAAGTAATTCAAACCACAAGGAACTTGTAATAGTTGCTCAGAAGAAATAATTATTTCCTTATGCCGTTTGCTAAGAAATAGAGGATATGAAAAATTATATTTAACTGATGATGTAAATAGAGAAATAATGAGTGAGTATTGAATAGTTAAGGCCAAGGTAAGTATACTGTATCAGTTTGGGTTTGGTCAGGAGAAGGAACTACCTTAGATAATAGAAGTAGGAAAATAGAGGCTTACATACCACTGAAAGGAATGTTACAACATTCAGGAGAGAAGAAAATGGTAGGAGACAAATGCAGATCATCTCAACTGCCAGCCATTCAGAGAATAATGCCTAGAAGCTATTGGCAATCCTTTCATTGCCAAAGCCCACGTATATGCCTGTAGCCTATAACAGGTTCTCTTTGTCTGCCTCTGAAAATTTTCATCACTCACATTGATGGAATTTAAATGGGACCCTGTTGGCAAAGGACAGATAGTAAATATTTAAGATAAAAATATACAACAATAAGTTATGATTTGACACAAAGATAAATGATATCTAGATAAATATTATTAATCCATTTGTTATCAAATGCCTACATCAGGAATTGGATGGCATCCATGATAAACTATCATAATTTCTAAATTCAAAACTTTACTCATATGAAAACTTGAGTGATATTTTATGCCAGACTGTAAAATTTATACCGGGAAATATAAAATATGATTAATTAGAATATATATCCAGAAACCTAGAAATAGGAGTGCATTTTTTTTACTTAACTATAGTTACAAATAATTTTAACCAAGACAAAGTTTTATACACAATATACATAATTTTTCTCTAGAACAAACATGGCAACCAGATTCTAGTTGATACATTTACTGATTATTATATATAGTCAACGTTCTCATACATTCCCTGACTTAATAGGTCAATGAGTGACAGAGTGACAGCCATGTGGTACAATATTTTAAACAGTCTTGTGGAAACTATGTAATTTTTGTCCTTTAGAAGGTGGCTTTTTAGTTCAACTGAATCAGGAACACTATGAACAAAAAAACCTGACAATCTGCTTCACCCCCAAGATAGAGACAGGATGGCACAAACAGCAATGCTACTCCCTGTGGAAGCCCAAAAGCCAGCAAAGGATTCCAAGTAATCACCTTCTCAGTCCCTGAGATCCCTGAACTCCAGTTGAGAGTGGTTTCTCTCTGCCCCCAAGCGTGCAGATGTGTAACAAAGCTCCTTCAAGGGTAACCACCTGCACACAGAAAGCTCTCATGCAAGACTATTCATTAATACAAAAGCTGGAGTCTCCTGGAGGAAGTCACACAGCACATTGAATGGAAAAGAACTTTCAGTCCAATATAACCTATTTGACATTGCTACTCTTCCACCTTTACACTTTAATACTTGGGATCCTCTTTTGGTCTCTTTTTTTTTTTTTTTTTTTTTTATGTGGAGTCTCCCTCTGTTACCCAGGCTGAAGTGCCGTGGTGATTGGCTCACTGCAACCTCCGCCTCCTGGGTTCAAGCAATTCTCCTGCTTCAGCCTCCTGAGTAGCTGGGACTACAGGCACGCGCCACCACACCAGGCTAAGTATTGTATTTTTAGTAGAGACGGGGTTTCACCATATTGGCCAGGCTGGTCTCGAACTCCTGACCTCTAGTGATTGGCCCACCAAGGCCTCCCAAAGTGTTGGGTTTACAAGCATGAGCCACCGCATCCAGGTTCTTTTGGTCTTTACATCAAACAGAAATAGACTCCAACAAACTTGCTGGCTCGTCTCTTCACTCTGACATAGCCCATGAAATTGCACCTTTTTCTCTCTACTTTGTAAAACAATGTAGTCCTCCTCTACTCTTATTCCCAAACTTGAAGAATGAACCTGTCCTATCAAGTTCCCCTAGTAGATCAAGAAATTTATTCAGCCTTTTTATAAAAGAATTATCATAATAAATAGTAAAATTCAATTTTCTGCATGATCTACTCTTTTGGCAACCTCATGCAACAACCAAAGGCAGTGTTCCTGAACTAATTACATAATCTAGAGTTTGTGAAAGAAAATTAAATCTTAGGACCCCAAATTCATTAAGCGAAAGGGAAAAGTCAAGCTGGGAACTGGCTCACACAAACCTAACTCCCCCTTTTTTGTTTCTAAATAAGATGGCTACAAGATGAAAAGCTCCATGCCTCCCGCATGTTTTGTCCACAAGGAAATTTTTAGCGAGCTGCGAGATCTTTACTCTAAAGTATTTCTATTAAAATTTCACCATGGCAATGTAAATTTCTAGTTTATCTTTACGGGAGCAGTCACCCCTCTGCCCACCAGACACAAACGCATATCCGATTGTTTCCCTGCCCCATTTTGTCTATGTTGTCTTACGTAAAATACACATTCCCCACATTTTTCTACTGCCTCATTTGTCTATGTCATCTCTGATGGTTAATACTGAGTTTCAACTTGATTGGATTGAAGGATGCGAAATATTGATCCTAGGTGCGTCTGTGAGGGTGTTGCCAAAGGAGATTAACCTTTCCATCAGCAGGCTGGCGAAGGCAGACCCATCCTTAATCTGGGTGGGCACAATCTAATCAGCTGCCAGGGTGGCCAGAATAGAAAACAGGCAGAAAAACGTGAAAAGGCTAGTCTGTCTTAGCCTCCCAGCCTACATTTTTCTCTCGTGCTGGATGCTTCCTGCCCTTGAACATTGGACTCCCAAGTTCTTCAGCTTTGGGACTCGGACTGGCATCCTTGCTCCTCAGCTTGCAGATGGCCTATCGTGGAACTTTGTGATCTTGTGAGTTAATACTACTTAATAAACTCCCATATATATATAACTTAAACTCCATACATATGTTAATTTATTAAGATTTTATATATGTGTGTGTGTATACATATATATACACATATATATTTGTTCTGTCCCTCTAGAAAACCTTAATACATCATTTTATGTAAAAAGTTTCAGATTTACTGAGCCAGACAAAGGCACGAATGACTATTTTTTTTTCTACCCCCATCTTACATGAAAATTGTGTACTTCTCAATATCTTGCCCTTTCCCCTTTAAATGTGGAGCCCTCAAAATCATCTTCGGAGAAAGGCATAGATCTGTCTAGAGGGAATGCATCCTTAACTTTGGCAAACAAACCTCCTAAAATGATTAAGACTTGTCATTTTTCTCGATTGACAAGTTCCACTTTTAACCCTCAACGGACCCCTCTTAAAATTATATATATTAATTTTTTATAAATCTGGTGCTTTTTAATTTTTTTATGAGAAACTAAGATATATCAGGTAAAGAATACAAAACACATATCAGTTGCAGAAGAGTTATAGAATATAGAATAGTCATAGAATAGAAACATATATCAGTTATAGAATAGTTATAAGGTATATCAGTTCTAGAATAGAAAACCACTCTGGCTTAATAAGATGTGCTTTTGGTGAACTTTCTATGACTTTAAACCTAGGTTAAAATCTTAATGGTCTCACTCGCCAGTTAGAAGACCGTGAAAAAAATCTCTTTATATCTCCAGGATGCTGTTTTTTTTCTCACTTGCAAAATGAGAATAATAGTAGGACCTATTTTATAATGTTATTACATAAATTATAGCATAAATATTTATGAAGGGCCTAGAACAATGTCAGACACACAAATGTGTCTATTTTAAAAAATAAAGATAATTTTTATACAATACTATTTTAAAAAAATAAAAAATATAAAGATAAGAAAATAAAAAAAACAGAATTTTTGAGGAATGAAATCAACGCATTAGTTCTTAGAAAACATGAGTGGAGGCAGCCATGGTCAAAAACATGTTGAAAACACTACTGTGGAAATGAGAACTCCTTAGGAAAGCTCTAAGTTCAGAGTCTGTTGTTGACGTAATATTACTCGTATTGTTACTGCTATATTATTAATTGTAGTAGTGGTTGCTGTAGTCTTTATTTATATTTTGGAGGAAGACAGAAACTCCTGTCTCAGTCTGCACTAGGCTGATTTTGTGTTGCTATTAAGAAATACTTGAGACTGAATACTTTTAAAAGAAAGAGGTTTAATTGGTTCTTCAGGCTGTACAGGAAGCATGCTTTTGGTGTCTGCTTCTGCTGAGGCCTCAGGAAGCTTACAATCATGGTGGAAGGCAAAGACGGAGCCAGTACAGTATGTGGCGAAAGCTGGAGCAAGAGAGAGAGCAGGGAGATGCCATGCACTTTTAAACAACCAGAACTTGCCTGAACTAACTGAGCAAGAACTCACTTATCACCATGGGAATGATGCTAAACCATTCACGAAGCATCCATTCCCATGATCTAATCACATCCCCACTTCCAACATTGGTGATTGCATTTCAACATGGGATCTGGAGGGGACAAATACCCAAACCATATCACAGTCTTTCACAGTATTTACCAGTGACAAATATTTAGGTTTGCTGTAAATCTTACTGATTAATCAACTGGGGAGACACATTTGAGGTAAGGCAGATAACTGTGTTAGTTTCCTACCATACCAGCCTTACTACTTGAGCCAAATCTACTCTCCAGTCACATTTATGTCAACTCTCTCCAGTTTGTCCAAACACAGTGACTTGTCAATGTGGCTTCCTAATTTTGATATTGTCCTCCTTTCCCTTGGTTGAGAAATACGCAAAGCAGTCCAGGAAACCTTTGGTTAAACTTGGCCTCATTGATTCATAATCTATACTCCAGCCTTACAGTGATATCCTCATTGAGGCATGGTTCAGCACCAAAGGTCACAGTAACTTTTACTTTAATTTTATCCTATTTTTACTCATAATTTAAAAACAAAACAAAAAAATAGGACATATTAGAACTAAAAATTATACAGATACTTCTATTTTCCTTAATATGCATTATATAATACATATTATATATATTTAATGAAGGAAATACATATAATGAAAAAAGGTCTGATTTTTATTATAGTCCCATCCCTAACAGAAAAATCTTTGTAACTTCAGGCAAATAATACACTTCTCCAGACATTTTCCTCATCTGAAAAAACAGTAGTCACAAAGAAAGGAGGATATTAGATTAGATAATCTCCAATTTCTTTTCAGTAATGAAATTTAACAATCTATTAAAAAGTTATCTAAAGTACTGTCTCAAATTGCCCCAGTGCTCTGTTTAATGAAAACATAAATCACATTGTTCTTAATTCACTTCACTTCATTTACTCCTATAACAATGAAGAGTTTAGATGTGATTACGTTTTATGATTTGTTACAGTTTGACTTGATAGCTAGATCCCAGGTCAGAGACCTTGATTTAATTTATGCTTGTTAACACTGAAGTTTATTTATGGCACTGAATAAATGATAGTGTAACAACACATTTGAAAATATCTTCCTAAGAGACAAGAGTTATTGCATTAATTTGCATTTTTTCTTTCTAGAATTTAGATAAATGTAAGTATTTATGGAAATAACAAATGTTGCCTGTTGGCTCTAAGATCTCTCTTCTGTATGTAATACTCTGGTGTTAATCTTCATGTTATCTTTTTGCTGAGTTCTCTTCAAAAAGTTGTAGTGTAGTTAATGTGGCAGACATAAAAGCAATGTTGATTCAATTTGATTTTCTGTATTTTTTCCTGGTGATTTGCAAAAAGAAGAGCAAAACGAGTGAAAATCAAGCCAGATTCTAAAATTATGACAGTCTGTAAAGAAAATTAGTTATTAATTATGATGCAGGTTTACAGCAATATTTGTTTTGAATGAAATATATTTTCATGAAAATGTAAACCAGGAACGACACAAAAATAAAAATGTTACCAGTGGAAGAATTGGGTATGTGTTTGGTAAAGTTTATATTTTAACAAATCTTTGAGTAGGAAATATAAAGTGAAAAAAAGTCTGAAAGTGGTATTTATAACTACAAACAAACCCCAAAGCTTAATTTTTAATTCTCTCTCTTCCAAAAGTCTCAATTATATTCTCTCAGTTAGAATACAAATTAAAATATTTCTCTTTGTGAGATACACAGTGTTTTGAAAGGAAATGAGCATTTTTAGTCTAACTACATGACAGTGGGTGCAATTCCTGGCTCTGCCAGCTACAAGCAGCCTGACTCTGTCCAAAACACTTGGCCACTTGTACTCACAGCTTCATGTATAAAATGTGAGCAACAGTGTTCACTGAGTGGGATTGTTGCAATGATATAACTGGTATCCTATCTGTAAAACACCTATAATAGAAACTGGCATATCAAATGTATATTCAGTGCTGATTCCTTACACCCTTTGCTTCTTTTTACCATCAGTTCTCCTCTGATTCTAGCCTTTTGGGATATTGACTTGAAGATTCTAGAAACTTGTTATTTCCATTGTTTATTTCCATTGCTTCCATTTTGTGTTGCTATAAAAGAATACCTGAGGCTGGGTAATTTACAAAGAAAAGAGGTTTATTTGGCTCACAGTTCTGTGGACTGTACAAGGAGCATGGTGCCAGTTCTGCTTCTAGTGGGGCCTCAGGAAACTTTTACCCATGGTGGAAGGCAGGGAGGAGCCATTGTATTATATGTTGAGAGAGGGAGCAAGAGAGAGTGACAGAGGTCCCAGACTCTTTTTAACAACCAGATCTTGAGTGAACTCATTACTATGAACTTACTACCACTGAGAGAGCACTAGGCCATTCATGAGGAATTGCCCCCATGATCCAATTACCTCCCACTAGGCTGCACTTTCAACATTGGGGATTACATTTCAATATGAGATCTGGAGGATACAAACATCCAAACTATACTGATGCATCTGTTAAATATCATTTTACAAATTCAGACTATTTAACAGCAGGTCAAAGTACTCAAGTGAGTAAAAGAGAGTGGATAGCTGTATCTCTGATGTTCATATAGATGGCACACAGAATCAGAGAAATGGTAACAGTAGTTGTTTAGGCTGTTAGGGTACTGTGAGTTATTGCTCTTTTCTATTTTAGTATCTCATTATTAAAGGAAACACAAGTTTTAATCCCTATCATACAGTGGGAAAGCCAGAAAAAGAAACCTATATGTAAGTACAAAGTGACTAAGATATATAAAAGTAGACAATTCAGTGCTAAAGTGAAATAAGTTTTGTCATAAAGATGAAAAATCTGAGAGATTATGGAATCATTTATAAAAGCCTTCAGAAAATAAAGAGGTTTGAGACAAATTTTAAAAAAAGGGAAGGATCTTACCGTGTGGTCAAGAGTAGTGACAAAGTCATTCATAAGACTTCCTTGTTCTTAGGTTTCGAAATGTCCAGTGTTGTGGCAAGAAAATCCTTAGTGTGTCAGAGAACATTTGGTGCTGGGCTGCTGTCACATAAGCTAAACCTCACTATAAAATGGGAAAATAGGAAAAATTCACAGTATAATCATTTTATCAGATATACTCTGGAGGAAAAAAAAAAAACCCGTCTACTTTCTCTTCATTGATTTTAGTTCACTATTGAGTCATAGTCTTGTTCAAAAATTGTTTCATTTCCTTTTGATTTCACTTATGTCATTTCTCATATTTAACGTTACCTTATATAAATAGCAGTTGCTGGCTATCAAATTAATGTGACAGTGTCCTCAGACATAACTGATTTTTCCGTGGCTATGATTAATACTGAATGATTCACTGATATTGAAAGTGGTAACCATTTATTAGCATTTTTCCTTTGAGATCAACTCCAAGGAGGTAAAAGCAAAGTAGCAGTTATCCTTCAACAGCTTTGCCCCGGAACCAACAGGCTAAATTGTAGTTTAAATTGTGATACAAATGGTATTTTTCTTGGCTACTGTCTATTCCATTCCTGCATTCTTTCAGTGGAGAGTTCCCTGTTCTAGCAGCCAATAGAATCAACACCATCGTTTCACCCTCTCTTCTTCTTCATCAAAATCTATTACTCTACATCCACTTCCTCTGTGGGTCTACTCCATAAACGGCCAAGATTCAAGCTAAGGTGTCAAATCTAGGAATAAGATTCTTTCTTATTTTATTGAAGGACATTTCATTTACTCCAGAACTGCTGTGTGTTTCCTATTTTATTTCCATTTAGGAAACATTGATTGAACATGTAGAATGCATTGGAAACAAAACTGACTCAGGAGACATACAATAAATTTTACATTTTTCCTGGTTTCAAGAAGCATATAATACTGTAGGAGGAAGTATCTACAATAAATTTTACATTTTTCCTGGTTTCAAGAAGCATATAATACTGTAGGGGGAAGTATCTGTAACTTGATAAACTATATTATAAGAAGAATGATAATAGTTATAAACAAAATATCATGGGGAAAGGGCTTTAAAAATGAATACAATATTTAAATATTTGCAACATATATTTTCACAATCTGTAATATGTATTTGTAATTTAAAAATATAAAACTAGTATTTGCAATAGTAATGATTTCTAACTATAATTTGCATTGCTAGATTCTATTATTAATTCTGATAGATTAAAAATCTCATTATATTTTTGAGACAATTCTCTAAAGGATGAATTACTCTATTTTGTTCCATCATTATAGTAAATTATATCAAACATTTTAAAAAGTCAAGTCATCTTTACATTTTTGTATTTTGGGAGATAATCATATGTGGTCAGAATGTATCACATATAAACACACACATTTTTACTGAAGTCAACTTACTAGTATTTTTTGTAAGAAATTTGAAGTTGTGTTAATTAAATCTTAGATATGTCTATTTTAGGAGTTCTTAAGGAACTGACTTTGGATTTTCTTAATCTTTATTGTACCTATGTCACCTGTTTACATTTGTGTATTACTACCATTCTTATGCTTCAGGCTTAATCTGCTAGGCTTTTTCTACTTTTTTGAATTGGACATTTTTATAATTTTGCTAGTGCATACATGAGGTCATAGCAGTTGTCAAAATATACATTTATATTCATGTACATCAAAGGCCACTATCGTAAGCTGCTACCCTTCAGTGATCCTGCAAGTCACTAGCCGTCCAGATCTCTTTCCTGGAACTTCTACTTGTCCAAACTTTCAGACACAGCCAGGATTTAGGTGAGACATGTCACATAATCCAACAAAATCAGTGATAAAGAACAAAATAATATTTCATGAAATATTTTTTAAAATAGAAATTAATACTGGGACAAGAGCCAAGATGGCTGACTGCATGCTGCTAAGAATAGCTTCTCCAACCTATTGAGAGACCAGACCATGAAGAAGACTGGCACACTCCAAGCAGATTTTCAGAAGGATGGCATTGGGAATAAATAGAGGAAGGCCACAGATCCTGCCCTGAAAGGGGAGGAGGCTGGGAACTCTGCACAAGATTGCTGAGTGCCAGGATGTGCTTTGTGCCCTGGGCAGCTCCTAGGGAAAGTATGAGTCAAATAGGCGTGAGTGGCCAAATATCACCACAGACCTCTGGAATCCTAGCTGAAGGGGAACTGATGACCCACATGAACATTTGAGTTGGCAGAGAGAGCTGCTTAGAGAGTTGACAGGGACAGGACTCTAAGTGGTGTAGAGCCTACAGGGTTTGGCATGGAAATGGCAGCAGTGGCACATGGTTGGGGACACCCATACCCCAAGGCTCACCATGCTCCTCTAGGTGGCTTGGGCCTTTGTTGCCTATAAGACATGGGTGGAACAGGACTGTCTGCTCATGGGATGGGGACAGTCTGATCTGACAGCCCCCTGTCTGCTGGTCTCTCCCAGTAGTGCAGTCTGAGATCTCCAACTGTGGCATTTCCCAGTGGCCACTGCCATAATATCTTCACCGGCAGATACCACCAAATCATCAGAGAGCTTCTGCAGATGAGCCACTCCCAGCATGCACCTGCTGACAGCACCCCACACTGCTTCACCAGTGTGCTTTTGCTCACAGCCTTCTTGTACCACTTCATTGGTGACTGAAAGCATAGGCCTCACTGCCACTTCCCCAGTGAAGTACTTTTGCCAGCATGACCCATTAAGAGGGTTGTTACCAGTGGACTGGGAATACTTCAGCCCCTCTGGTGAAACAGGATCCCTGAGGAGTCAAAGAACAAAGCTGTGGGCCCGGTCCCAGTCCCCAGGGTTAGAGCATGCAGCCCAAGAGTGCTGATCTGAGCCTTGGCCCCCTGTGAAACTGTCCAGAAATGAATCCAGTCAACTGAATCCAATTTATACCACAATCAAATGCACAAGGGCATCACAGAATATAAAACCAATAAGCCCCATCCAAAGTATAGCAACTAGAAAGATTACAGGATCATTAGCCCACACAGATGATAAAGAACCAATGCAAGAACTCTGGCAACTTGAAAAACCAGAGTGTGTTCTTACCTCCAAATGATTGCACTACTTCCCCAGAAATAGTTCTCAAACACACTGAAATGACAGACAGAACATTCAGAATCTGGATGGAAATGAAAATCATCAAGATTCAAGAGAAACTTAAAACCCAATCCAAGAAATCTAAGGAAGCTAGGAAAACAATATAAGAGCTGAAAGACAAAATAGCCATTTTTAAGAAAGAACCTAAACTGATCTGATAGAGCTGAAAACTCACTACAAGAATTTCATAATACAATCATAAGTATAAAATCATAATAGACCAAGCTGAGGAAAGAATCTCAGAACTCAAACATCAGTTCTTTGAGTAAACTCAGTCAGACCAAAATAAAGAAAAAAGTTAAAAAGCATTAACAAAACCTTCAAGAAATATGAGATTATGTAAAGAAACAAAACCTACAACTCAGTGGCATCCCTGAAAGAGGAAAGAGAGCAATCAACTTGGAAAAAATATTTGAGGATATTGTCCAAGAAAGCTTCCCCAAACTCGCTAGAGAGGTCAACATTCAAATTGAAGAAGATCAGCCAAGCTCTGGGAGATACTACACAAAAATGACCATTCCCAAGACAAATAGTCATCAGATTCTTAAAGGTCAGTGAGTAAGAAAAAATATTTAAGGTAGCTAGAGAGAAGGGGAAAGGTTATCTACAAAGGGAACCCCATCAGGCTAACAGTGGGCCTTTCAGCAGTCTACAAGCCAGAAGAGAATGAGTGCCTATGTTCAACATCCTGAAAGGAAATACATTTCAACCAAGAATTTCATATCCAGCCAAAATAAGCTTCATAAGTGAAAGAGAAATAAAATTGTTTTCAGAGAAGCAAATGCTAACAGAATTTGTTACCACCAGACCTGCTTCAGAAGAGGTCCTTAAGGGAATGGTAAACATGGAAACAAGAGACTGTAGCCAGGCATGACAAAAATGCAATTTAGTACATAGACCATTGACATAGAGATAGTACATAGACCATCTCTTCTACTTTGTAGAATAGATAAAACTGGTGTTAATTTCACACAGCTCTTTATGAAACCATCTGGGCCCAAAGATTATGAAGCAACCACATAAACAAGTCTACATAACAACTGGCTAACAAGATAATGACAAGGTTAAATCTGCACACATCAGTATAAACCTTGAACATAAATGAGACAAATGCCCCATTTGAAAGACACAGACTGACACATTGGATAAAGAAGCAAAACGCAATGGTAAGCTATCTTCAAGACACCCATCTCACATGCAATGATACTCATAGGCTCAAAGCAAAGGCCAAAAAAAGCAGGGTTGCTATCCTTATTTCAGACAAAACATGCTTTAAATCAACAATGCTTTCCTTTTTGAATAAAGGGTTAAATTTAACAAGAAGACTTAACTATTCTAAATGTATGTGTACCCATCACTGGAACACCCATATTCATAAAACAAGTTTCTAGAGACCTATGCATACACTTAGATAACTGCTTAATAATAGTGGAAGACTTAAATACCCTACTAACAGTGTTAGATAGATCAATGAGGCAGATAACTAACCAAGATATTTGGGATCTAAACTCAACATTTGACCAAAATGATTAGACAAACATGTACAGAATTATCCAAACAAAACCAGAATATCCATTATTCTCATCTGCACATGGCACATACTCTAAAACTCACCACATGCTTGACCATAAAGCAATTCTCAGCAAATTCACCAAATCAAAATCTTACCAACCACACTCTCAGATCACAGTGTAATTAAAATAGAAATCAATACAAATAAGATCTCTCAAAACCATACAATTACATATAAATTAAACAATACACCTCTGAATGGCTTTTGGGTAAACAATGAAATTAAGGCAGAAATCAAGAAGTTCTTTAAAACTAATGAAAACAAAGATACAACATACCAGAATCTCTGGAGCATACCTAAAGCAGTATAAGAGGAAAATTTATAGCATTAAAAATTCACATCAAAAAGTTAGAAAGATCACAAAGTAACAACTTAACATCACACCTAGGAGAACTATGAAAACAAGAGCAAACCAA